GGTTCTCATTAGTACCCTCTGGCAAACATAACTATGGAAAATCGCAATTTTTACCAGTAGTACCGCACAAGGCGGCGGCGGAAGTTTCAAAAATAGGAAACCTATAGGAGAGGTTGGTTGTTGTGAATCAGGGATGGCAGAGCGAAGCCACTCATGGATCGAAAGGTGATTGATCTCTCTCACTATTCTTTCTTTCTCTGACGATCTACCTACCTACCTATCTATCTATCTACCTATCTATCCATCTATCTATCGATCGATCTATCTATATATCTATATATCTATCTATCTCTCTCTCTCTCTCCCTCCTTCATCTGTCTAGCTGTCTACCTGTCTATCTGTCTATCTATCTATTTGTCTACCTGTCTATCTGTGGTGCAGTGTCATTGAGTGTAATGTAGTGTAGTGTAATTGTAGTGCGGTGTAGTGGAGTGTAGTGGAATGTAGTGTAGTGTAGTGTAATGTAGTGTAGTGTAGTGTAATTTAGAGTAGTGTAATTTAGTGTAGTGGGGTGTAGTGGAGTGTAGTTGTGTAGTTGTAGTTGTCGCTGTAGTTGTAGTGTAGTGGAGTGTAGTGTAGTGTAATGTAGTGAAGTGCAGTGGAAGGTAGTGTAGTGTAGTGTAATGTAGTGGAGTGTAGTGTAGTGTAATGTAGTGAAGTGTAGTGTAATTTAGTGTGGTGGAGTGTAGTGTAGTGTAGTGAAGTGTAGTGGAAGGTAGTGTAGTGTAGCGTAATTTAGTGTAGTGGAGTGTAGTGGAGTGTAGTTGTGTAGTTGTAGTTGTAGTTGTTGTGTAGTGGAGTGTAGTGTAGTGTAATGTAGTGAAGTGTAGTGGAAGGTAGTGTAGTGTAGTGTAGTGTAATGTAGTGTAGTGGAATGTAGTGTAATGTAGTGTAGTGTAGTGTAATTTAGTGTAGCGGAGTTTAGTGGAGTGTAGTGGAGTGTAGTTGTAGTTGTAGTGTAGTGGAGTGTAGTGTAGTGGAGTGTAGTAAAGTGTAGTGGAAGGTAGTGTAGTGTAGTGTAATGTAGTGTAGTGCAATGTAGTGTAGTCTAGTGGAGTGTAGTGTAGTGTAATGTAGTGTAGTGTAGTGTAATTTAGTGTAGTGGAGTGTAGTGGAGTGTAGTGGAGTGTAGTTGTGTAGTTGTAGTTGTAGTGTAGTGGAGTGTAGTGTAGTGTAATGTAGTGGAGTGTAGTGTAGTGTAATGTAATGTAATCTAGTGGAGCGAAGCGAAGCGAAGCGATGTCTGAACCTCCAAAAGTGGTCCGAAACCCCAGTGTTTTTCACATTTTGACTTCAAAATGTGCTTCGCGCCACAACGACGTGCACTTTTTCAACATCCGAACCGAACCTCCAAAAGTGGCGCGAACATGTGGTGTTTTGTGCATTTTGACTTCGAAATGTGCTTCGCGCCACAACGACGTGCACTTTTTCAACATCCGAACCTCCAAAAGTGGCGCGAACATGTGGTGTTTTGTGCATTTTGACTTCGAAATGTGCTTCGTGCCACAACGGCGTGTACTTTTTCAACATCCGAACCTCCAAAAGTGGCGCGAACATGTGGCATTTTGTACATTTTGACTTGGAAATGTGCTTCGCGCCACAACGGCATGCACTTTTTCGACATCGCAACTGCCAAAAGTGGTCCGACAATGGTGTGTTTTGTACATTTTGACTTGGAAATGTGCTTCGCGCCACAACGGTGTGCACTTTTTCGACATCTCAACTGCCAAAAGTGGTCCGGAACATGTGGTGCTTTGTACATTTTGACTTCAAAAATGTGCTTCGCGCCACAACGGCGTACACTTTTTCGACATCGCAACTTCCAAAAGTGATCCGACAATGGTGTGTTTTGTAATTGTTTTGTACATTTTGACTTGGAAATGTGCTTGGCGCCACAACGGCTTGCACTTTTTTCGACGTCTCAACTGCCAAAAGTGGTCCGGACCTGGTGTGCTTTGTACATTTTGACTTGGAAATGTGCTTCGCGCCACAACGGCGTGCAGTTTTTCAACATCCGAACGATTCCGAACCTCCAAAAGTGGCGCGAACATGTGATGTTTTGTACATTTTGACTTGGAAATGTGCTTCGCGCCACAACGGCGTGCAATTTTTCATCTCTCATCTGGCCAGCTGCCTCTGCACCCGTCGCTTTAGCGAGCCTACTTTTCGAGCAGCCGGAGCCACAAATCATTGGAAAAACACAGTGTTTCGCGACTTTCCTACCTTTTCGCGCATCTGCATCTTCTTTCTTCTTACTCTTCTTTCTTCTAATCTTTCTCTTCTAATCTTTCTCTTCTCTCTGCCTCTTCCCTGCTCTGCTTTTCATCTGTCCATATTGTCGGAAGTTTGACTTCTAAGCTTCCTTCGAATAGCTATGTTAAATTACCAGGTAGTCACTATAATTTTCGGGTCCAAATTTTTGAAACTCGCCATGTCTTGATCCTGAGCTGCCATTCCACATGAGCCATGGAAATAATCCTATGTTCAAAGTAGCTGGTACAAAGTATACCCCACTATTTATAGGCAACTATGATTTGACAACATTGTTGATGGTAAAAATCCATATTTGATGCTTCGATCCCCTTTTTACACATATATTTAATATATTCAGAATTATTTAGATCGTATTTTTGACCATGGCCGATCTTACCCTTGCACCATTCGTAGTACACATCCACATTTTATGATATTTTATGCCATATGAATCATATGACAGTCTCCTGAAATAAGGCTACAGTGAAACCCCAAAATCATCCGGTTGGTGGCTTCAACCCCCCTGAAAAATAGTAGTCAGTTGGGATGTATTGAAAAATAACAAATGTTTGAAACCACCAACCAGATCCTGTTTAATTGGATTTTCCATTATAAACCCCCCATTTTGAGGTACAGGGTATTGACCACATCGATGGCTGACTGCCTTGGACATTTTTTTTCCAACCATCCGAATGGGGTGAACATTAAACTTAAACCACCATGCACATGAAACACATTATATAATATGTCACCAAACTGTTCTAACAAAAACATGTTTGAAACCACCAAGAAGCCTGAATTTGCCACACAGTTCCAAGCCATCCCAAAGATACTGTAGCTTCCTTATGCTTCCTTCAGGTTTTTTCTCATGGGTAATCTTAGAGACCCTGCAAAAGCTTGAGCTTCGACGAGCTACCAGCTAGCAAATGGTAAATTTTCATGCTTAACATAGTTTAGGCATCTGAAATAAGTTTCGGTGCTACTTACCCTCTGGTCGTCAGCCCGCAGAAAATCTGAAGGCACGGCGTGACAGCGAGAATGAATGCCAGCCATACGCCGCCCGCACGCTGTCTCGTCAGTGTCTTTCCTTTCGTCTCTGTTGCAGGCTCTCTTTTTGAGAAACCTCTGAACACGCCGCATCGTTCTATTCTTCGCCGCTCGTCTTCTCTCGACGGCTTATGGTCCTCGCGGATCAGGCAGGTTTTGCACACACTGGAGTCTAAACGCGTTGAGAAAACGCGCGCACGCAAGAAAGGAGAACGCGCTCCGGCAACAGTTGCGCGTTTTCATCGGTGTAAGACACGTGTAGGCTTGTTGTGCATTCCCTTTCCATCCTGTGGGGCAAAGGAAGCTGAAAAGTCGACCATGCGGTCCATGCAACCGAAGAAAAGCCGCACCGGGCCCAAGAAAGCAGCTGCTTCTGCTTCTGCTGCGACGGTGCAAGCGCAACAATATCTTCCCAAATGCCCATTTATAAAGGATTATTCACCCATGTGTGATTGTCCCAAGGAAAGTACCCCCACATTCAGGAACCCAAATTGACCCATACCCACACGATGAGAAAAAGCAGTTTCAAAATCAGAGACTTTCCGAAAAGCTATGTTAAACAACCCTTTTAACACCCAGACTTTTCACACCCAGTGGCAGATCTTCACCGTGACCATGGTTTTTTCAAGGTTGAATCCCTAAAATTGTTCAACCGCGTTCATCCATGTTCATGAATTTTCTACACCCAATATGGCTATAATGGTCCCCACTGCACCAACCAGTTCATATCAACCCCTATTTTGTTAACCCATCAACAGAGGCATTCTTATCAATTTCAAGGATATCTTTACCGGTTCAACCAAAGAATGGTATATAATTAAGTACATCCTATGAAATGTCCCATGAAACATCATCATGTAGTTGGTTATTATCATGTTATATCATGTTACCCTCTGGTAAACTAACATAACTATGGAAAATCATCATTTTTCATGGGAAAACTCACTATAAATGGCCATTTTCAATAGCTATTTTGACATAACCAGAGGGTATATCCCTATGAAATGAACTGCTCATCGATGTTGCCCAGTGGCAGATGTTCATCCACATCTGCACCGCAGGCGTCACTTCCGCCGCCGCCAACACCGCGCGGCCCGGCGCCAGCACCGGCGTCGGGGCATCGTCGGCGTCGGCGACACGGTCGCGGTCGCGCTCGGGGCTGCCGGTGTCGTGGTCCACGTCGAAGCAAAAGACCTCGGAGTGGCTGCACAGTGGATGCATACAACGTGGGGCCCCCCCAGTGATGTGAACGTTGGTTTATAAACCCCATGAATACTATACCCAGAGCATCCTCACTTGAAAAAAATCAAGTGAAATATTGAATTTTTTGCATTTTCAAGTGGCGATTGAAATTTGCAATCGATTGAATTTTTCAAGTGAAAAGTAAAAAAAAACGATTGAATTTTCTATTGAAAACTGAGAAATTTCTATTGAATTTTCACTTGAATTTTCAACTTGAAAAAAAAATTCTATCAATTGTTTGCAATTTTCCAAGCCTGATTGCAGCTGGGCTGGATAGCCCTTGCAGGCTGGATAGCCTCATCTTTTGGCAGTTTCCAAATCATGCTTACAGCTGGGCTGGGTAGCCTCATCACTATAGGCTGGATAGCCTCATCACTATAGGCTGGATAGCTTCATCACTATAGGCTGGATAGCCTCAAAATTGTGTCTTGGAACTGGCTTCTGCAGGATTTTTTGCCATGTCCAAGAAGCAGAAGGGGGGGGCCAGAAGGACACAAGTTCCTGAGGTGGATGAGGAGCACCTCCTTGACACCTGCCTGAGCCATGTCCAGAAAGCTGGTGTCTCTGCCAGTTTTGCCTTAGGAGCCTACTTCCACACAGAAGCCAGCCATGCTGTGAGAGGAAGTGCCCTGGCAGACCTTCACACTGGAGTTCAAGTACTCAACCCTGAAGAGGGTGTTTGTTGAAGTGCTGAAGCAATTCCCTGGCCTGAAGGACAGGTTCCCTGTCAGCCAACAAGGGAATGCTGCCAAGGCATTTGCAGATGGCATTTTGGTTGTCTGCAACCATGCCAGGAGGATTGGCAGAGATGAGGGCAGACTGGCTGAGGCTTGCTCCAAACTCACAAGTTTCCAAGCTAAAAAGCTGGAAGAGATAGCAGGGTTGCTGAAAAAAGATGAGCAGCCTGCAAAAAGGTTTGGAGAAGATAAGGAAGAAGCCACCCCAGTAAAGAAGAAGAAGAAGAATGAAGAAGAGAAGAAGGGTGTAAGCCCTGGCACAGCAGCACTGTTGGAAGAGTTCCAGATCCCTTCCACTCAAGAGGGGGAATCAGAAGATGAAGGCCTGCTGGCTTCTGCCAGGAAAAGCAAGCCAATCCCTGTGAGGAAAGCTCTGCTGAAAGCTGAAGTAGCCAAGAAAAGGCCTGCTGCATGCAAGAAACCAGCTGCTGCCTGCAAGAAACCAGCTGCTGCCAAGGCCCCTGGAACTGGCAAACTTGGCGATGAGCAGTCAGTGACACAGCCTTTGATCCTCATGCCCTACAAGAAAGTGGGGAGCTGTGCTGTGAGGATCAGAGGGGGCCAGCAGATACTGCAAGTGAAGAGTCACAAGGGCTTGGAGCAGAGCAAGAAGATTGCAGCAGAGCTGAAGAAGATGTTGGAGGATGGCAAGACTTTGGGTGAAGTGAAGGCCTGCAAGGAGAAGAAGTTGCAAAAGTAGGAGGACATGGGAAAAGAAAAAAATGTTTTGGCCTGATGTGTGGGGTACCTGTGTAGTTTAGCCTACAGCTTTTTAGTGGGCTGGGCATCTGGGTGTAGGTATCAGAAAGCATAGGAAAGCCCCCAAAAAACAATGTTGGCTGGATAATGTTTTTTTTTGTGGACTGGATAGTCCAAAGCATTTTTGTGGGCTGGAAAGCCTAAATAAGGTCTGTTGGCTGGATAGCCCAAATCAATTTTGTGGGCTGGATAGCCCAAATCATTTCTGTGGGCTGAATAGCCAACAATATTTCTGTGGACTGGATAGTCCAAAACATTGCTGTGGGCTGGATAGCCCAAATCATCTGTGGGCTGGATAGCCTACACCATTCTGTGGGCTGGATAGCCCAAAGCATTTCTGTGGGCTGGAAAACCCAAATCATCTGTGGGCTGGATAGCCTACACCATTCTGTGGGCTGGATAGCCCAAAGCATTTTTGTGGGCTGGGTAGCCCAAAAACATTTCTTGAACCAACCATCATGTGTGCCCTCACCAGAAGTGAGGCCCAAAGCTTGGCAGGTAGCAGCCAGCCCAAGGGAGTAGCTGAAGCCATGGACCCTGCTGGGAAGGGCAAGAAGGGTGAGAAGGGCAACAAGGGAGGGTGGACAGAGAACTGGGCAGGAAAAGGAATGCCTCCAGGAGGAGGAGGAGGAGGTGCAGCAGTGTGGAGGCAGAACCTGAGGAGTTTGGCAGAGTTCCACTGTCCAAATATGGAGATTGGACAGTTTCTGTTCCAGCTGGCCCTGTACACCCAGCAGCACACAGGAGTGATGAAGCTGGACTTCGAGTCAACCCGCATGTACCTGATTCGAGTCAAGCAGCAGGTGGCAGAAGGACTGCTGCTGCTGGGCTGAGGGGTTTTGATTTTGGGCTGGATAGCCCTTCACATGTAACCATTATGTGTGGGCTGGAAAGCCCTTTTTTTTTGTTAGGCTGGATAGCCTTGAGCCAGGAATAACACAAGTAACACACAGAAACTATATTCAACCTTTAATTACTCTTCATTCTGTGGGCTGGAAAGCCTTGAGCCAAAATAACACAATCAAAATGAACATATACAATTTTTAAGTTTCACCATTCTTCATTTTTTGGCTGGATAGCCTTGAGCCATTTGTTTAGGCTGGATAGCCTTGAGCCAACAAAAAGCATATATATTGCCCATTGGTCCTGCTGCAGGAATGGCAGACCAGGACTTCTACGAGGTGATGGTGGAGAGGATGCTTGCAGCTATGCTGGGGGAAGCTGCAAGGAGTTTGGGGCATACAATGCCTCCATGGTTGCCCCCTGCCACAGCAGCAGCCCCTGCTGCAGCCCCTGCTGCAGCCCCTCCCCCAGCAGCAGCCACAGGAGGAGCCATGGGAGGAGCCCCTGCCCCAGAAGGAGGAGGAGGAGGAGAAGCATGGCCTAATGCTCCCTGGAACAACCCAGCCCCACATGGAGGAAAAGGGAAGAGTGAGGCTGCAAGTGGGGATGGAGGAGGAAAAGGGAAGAGTGATATTGGAGGATCTGGAGGAGGAAAAGGCAGTGAAGGATCTGCAGCACCTGCAGCCCCACATGCAGGAGGAGGAGGAGGAGGAAAAGGCAAGAGTGAAGGAGATGGATCTGCACCAGCTGGAGGAGGAGGAGGAAAAGGCAACAGTGAGGGAGATGGAGCTGCACCACATGAAGGAGGAGGAGGAAAAGGCAAGAGTGGGGGAGATGGAGCTGCACCAGCTGCAGCCCCACATGGAGGAGGAGGGGGAGGAGGAAAAGGCAAGAGTTGGGGAGATGGAGCTGCACCAGCTGCAGCCCCACATGGAGGAGGAGCTTCATCTTCAGCAGGTGGTGGAGCAGGAGGATGGGATGGAAGCTGGGATGGCTGGAGCGATTGGGGCTGGCAAGGAGGATGGGAAGGCTGGGAAGATGGCAGCTGGCATGGTGGAGCAGGTGGTGGAGCAGGAGGGGGAGTTTGGGAACACCAAGGGCAAGATGTACCATGGGCTCAGAAGAATTTTGGTTGCTATTAATTAATTTTCCATTTTTTCATTGAATTCATGCAAGTTTGTTGTTCTCACAGCATGCATGTTAAGCACAGAATGGCCACATGTGCCCAGGAGCCCCAGAGATCTTGAGGACTGGGAAGGGGGCGACAGAGAATTCTGGGAAGCCCTAGTCTTCATGGATCTGGACTATGTGATGATCCACTGTGACTTTGGCAGCATTTCAATGTGTGGCTGGAGAGCCATTTTTGGGCTGGATAATATGTTTTTGTGGGCTGGATAGCCCATTCTCTTGGGCTGGATAGCCCATTCTCTTGGGCTGGATAACCCATTCTCTTGGGCTGGATAGCCCATTCTCTTGGGCTGGATAGCCCATTTTCTTGGGCTGGATAGCCTTTTTTTGTGCTGAGGCAGGGATTGCCAGAGGATCAGCTATGTCACAAAGAAGAGCTGCCTGAGATCTACTCACTGCCAAGGATGTATGAGAGCCTTGCTTGCAATTAGAGTGTTCTGATTCAAGTGGGCTGGAGAGCCCATTATTCACTATGGGCTGGATAGCCCAATTTTCCCTGACCATCCAAGGAGCTGGATGCACATCCTACAGAGGCAGGATGAAGACTATGGATCTCATTCGCAATGTGAGGAAAGCTGAGCTGTGGGAATTGCTGAGTGAAATTGAAAAGGTCTACAAAGAATAGGAAAGCCCTGGTACAGAAGAATGGCTGGACTGGAAAGTCCAAAAATCAACCCCACAAGAAAATGTTTTGTTGTAAGAATTTGTTTCTGCTATGGTTACCAGATTCAGCCATTTCAATGAGGGCTGGCCTTTACTGGAAGAGACTGGCTGGGCTGGAAAGCCTTAAAAAAAATAAGAGATTACATTAGCCTCACCATATCTATGCAAATTGTTTCTCAAAATTGCCAGCCAGTCAAAGGAGGCCATGTACAATATTTTTTAAAGACTCCATGAGCCAGATCTGCGCACTAAAGATTTTGGCAAGAAAAAGTGCTGCTTTGGCCTGATGGGCTGGGAAGGGATTGGGCTGGACAGCCCACTAAATGATTCAAATCCATGGGCTGGAGAGCCCACTAAATATTTCAAATGTATGGGCTGGAGAGCCAACTGAATATTTGAGATCTATGGGCTGGAGAGCCCATTGAATATGTCAAATCTATGGGCTGGGCAGCCCACTGAATATGTGAAATCTATGGGCTGGAGAGCCAACTGGATATTTGAAATATAGCTACCATATTTTTTGGGATGAACATCTCATAAGTGTAGGCTAGGTAGCCTGCAGAAAAACTGGGCTGGAGAGCCTTGAGGTAAAAAAAATCTTAAAAAATAAAAAAAAATGAAAACACCCATGAACTCACAGGAGCTCACATGAGCTCACATGAGCTCACATGAACACCCATGAACACCCATGAACACCCATGAGCACCCATGAACACCCATGAACACCCATGAACACCCATGAACACCCATGAATTCACATGAGCACCCATGAATTCATATGAACAACCATGAATTTACCAAAACCATTTTCATTTTGTTTTTTGAAAAAAAACATGATTAACCCCAATTCTCCATTTTTTTAAATATTTATTTATTTTTAATATTAGTTTTTAAGTTTTTCTTATTCACACAAATATGTTCACACAAATATTGTTATTTAATAGTATTTGCTAAAAATGTTCTTTGGGCTGAATAGCCCCTTGAGCCAATTTTATTTTTTCAAACAAAATGTTTCAATCCTTATTTTGTAATTTTGTTTTTGCTAATATTTTCTTTGGGCTGGATAAGCCCTTGAGCCAAATCCAACATAGCTGGAAGCCCCTTTGAGAAGCTGGGCTGGATAGCCCCAGATTGGTTTCATGGCCCTTTGGGCCACAGCCACATCCAAGTGAGCCAAACATTACAGAGCAGCTGCTGGCCCAAAAGCAAAAGAAGCCCAGTAGACCCTAGTGAGCCCAGCCATGAAGAGGCCTGCAGCTTCCTTGCAAAGGCCTGCTTCCAAGCAGGAGGAGCAGGAAGCTGAGCCAGAGGAGCCTGAGCATGTTCCTTTGACTGCTCAGGCAGTCAAAGACCACAACAAGTTTTGTGAGGAGGCTCAAGGCATGAGTGTTGGCCAGTTTGAGAAAGCCTTGTCCTGTCTGGATGGTGCTGCAAGCCAAAGGCTTTGGAAAGCTTTCGAAAAGTCCAGGAAGTCTTCTGGAGAACAGGAGAAATACCTGGAGGCCACCACCAGTGCCAAGGAAGGAAGCTTGGCCAAGAAGAGAAAGCTTCTGTTTGGATGGGTCTGTGATGGCAAAGAGACAGGAGAGCACTACAAGTCCATGGTGGAGACTGTCTCCCTGAAGAAGTCTGAGGGTGTCACCAGCACTTGGCTGACAAAGAACCAGGCACTGCAGCACTGGGGCAAAGAAGAGCTACAAGAAAGAGTGGCCTCTGGAAGTATAGTGGCCAGGAAGGACCCTTCTGACTCCAAGTACTGGCAGTTCAAGGCCAACACTGAGGAGTCTAAGGTGTTTGTGAACAGGGAGAAAGCTGTGTCCTGGGCCAAGAAGGGCAAGAGCAACAACAAGGAGCTGAGCAAACTGCTTCAGACCCAGGGCCTGGAGAAGCTGACTGAGAAAGAGTTCACTGCCCCTACTGACTCTGAGGAGGACAGTGAGCTGGCTTGGCTGAAGCTTTGGGCAACAAGTCTGAGAAGAGCACCAAGGAGAAAAAAGAGAAGAAGGAGAATAAGAAGGACAAGTGGGAGGAGATATCCCAGGTATGTGAAGATGAGAGCCAAAGTCAGCTGCAAAGCAGACTGATGAGCTTCAAGGTGGAGCTGATCAAGGACTTGGCAGTGTTGGATGGCTACACCCATGAGAAGGGCCTGGCAAAGTCCTTGCTCAAGGAGGCTGTGCAGGAACACAAACGAGGGCAAGCTGTTGTGTCCCTGCTGGCCAAGCTGCACAAGAGCAAAGCCAAGAAGAAAGAAGCAAAGCCAGCCCTCCAGACAGCCCTGACAACTCTGAGGGCCTTGAAGGCCAAGAAGCTCCAAGTGGCCAAAGCCTTGAAGGAGTAGGTTTTTGCCTGAGAAGAGGAGGGGTGCCCATCCAAGTGTTAAGCTGTGAAGCACACTGTTTGTAGCTGAGATGATGGGAAGGGCATCCCTTGCCAAAGTCTTGCAATGGCAAGCTGGCAAACAGAACCGCTACCAACAGTTTTTGACAGCAAAAAAGCTTGCCAGCCCTCTGAAAACTGCTGAGCTGGATAGCCCCTGGCCAAGGTTGAACTGGGCTGGACAACCCAAGGTCAAAGTTAAGTTGGGCTGGACAGCCCCTGCCAAGGTTAAGTTGGGCTGGACAGCCCCTGTCAAGGTTTAGTTGGGCTGGACAGCCCAATGTCAAAATTAAGCTGCATTACAGCTTTGGCTCCAAGTTTTAGGAAACATGGAGGAGCCATGTGCTCTCTGGGTACTGCTTCTCAGGAAGTTCAGCATAGGAAAGCTATCTGCCCTAGAAGTGCAGGAGGTCGCTTCAGCTGCAGTGAAGAGTGGTGCTGACAATGCAGAGATGAGAGCCCTGCAAGGATTAGGAGGTATGGGGCATGCAAGAGGAAATGTTCACAGGGACTTGGTGAGAAAATATTTCTCACTGCCGCTGTCCCCAGAGCCATGGGAAATCCAATGCCCCTTGGCTGTGAAGCAAGGGGGGCACAGGATTGAGAAGGAAGCATCTACTCACATGTTGCTGCCCCATCTTTGGGTGATTGAGGCCCAGGAGAACAACTTCTTGGGTAACCTGTGCTGCAAGGATGAGGAGATTGCTGCCTTTTGGAAGAGTCAAATGAAGAGCCCCCAAATGACACCTGAGCTGAAACAAGTGATAAAGACTTCACAGCCAAGCCAGCTCCCAGTACCATACCTCTTGCATGGAGATGCAGCACCCTTCACAGAAGTGGACAGTATCCAAGTCCTGAGCTTCAGGCCTGGTTCTGTGATGGCCTGGGTGTTAGCCTGTTTTGTTTCCAAATTCCTGTGTGTTGGGCTGGATAGCCCATTTTTTTGCCTTGGGCTGGACAGCCCCTGCTGCCATGTCCCTGCCAGGTGCCTGCTCTCCAGCAAAGCAGTGACCCAAAGCCAGATGCTCATCTCTGCCCTGCCAAAGCTGGCCATGACCAAGGAGACCTGCAAGAGGATGATGGAAGTTTTGGCTTGGTCTTGGCAAGTGCTATGGGATGGAGTGGTGCCCAAAAAGGATAAGGCTGGGGACCCCATTGAGAAGCACAGAGGTAAGAGGATGAGAAAGGGGGTGCTGTGGTCAGTGAGTGGAGATTTGGAATGGTTTGCATCAGAATTTGGCTTTCCATATTCTGCAGCCAATATGCTTTGCCCCTTCTGCCTGGCAGATCAATTCAAGGAGGGGAGCCCCAGACCTTTCACAGACTTCAGGGCCACAGCAGCCTGGAGACAGACTACTCTACCTCCAGCCAAACTTCAGAAGAAATTTGCAGGTCACCCACTTTTTAGAGGAGGAGGAGGAGCTCCACATGCATCAGCTTTGAGCATTAAGTTGGATATACTACATGTGCTTGACCTGGGAGTGGCAGCCTATGCCCATGGCTCCTTGCTGTGGAGCATTATGGAAGAGCTGCCAGGAGCAAGCAGAGCTGTGAGGCTAGCCAACTTGAACCAAAAAGTGGTGGAGGCCTATGACAAGGTTGGGCTGGAAGCCCAAAAGAGGATGAAGCACTTGTCTTTGTCAGACCTAGCAGAAACTGCAGAAGAATACCCCTGCCTGAAACATGTCAAAGGAGCAAAAATTCGCTACTTTGCCCCTGCAGCCTTCGAGTTGGCCAAGGAGTTCAATGAGACCAAGAGTGGGAAGCACAGAGAAGCACTGGCTAAGCAGTTGGTGAAAGTGTACAAGATTCTTGGAAGCAGTTGGGAGGATTGGGACTTTGAAGCTTTCAAGAAAGCAGTGGACGACTTCATGGCCCACTACAGCTGGCTGGCAGCCAATGCATTGCATGAAGGCTTGCACCTCTGGAGTTTAGTTCAGAAATCCCATGTTTTGCTTCACCTGGCAGAGCAGAGCAAATTCATGCACCCCTGCCTGAATTGGACATATGGGAGTGAATCCTTCATGGGCTGGACAGTCCAAATCGCCTCCAGCTGCACAAGTGGCACTCCAGCTGAGAAGCTTCCTTTGAAAGTCTTGCAAAAATTCAGGCTTGTGTTTCACCTGTACCTGAAAGGGTACATTTCTTTAGATGAAGATGTCGATGATAACAGATGAGCCAAAAAGCAGCCAATGTTAGGCTGGATAGCCTTGCTGCCCTGCAAGATTAGAAGGTTGTAGGCTGGACAGCCTCTGCAGCTGAGCAGAAATTGGAAACTCTTTGGGCTGGACAGCCTGGTGACCTTGCAAAATGTGTGGCCACAGCCTTTTTTGGTTCTGAAAGCTGGGCCTAGAAACAAACAGAGCCCTTGTGCCATGGAAGGCACCCTGCCAAAGAGAAGGAGGGTGAGCTATGTGAAAGGTGAGCTGACAGCCAGCCCAGAGCTTTGGGCTGCAGGGTGGAGACTTGACCCACATGAGAACAGCCAAGTTCTGGTGCCTCCTCCAGGCCTGGAAGAAGATGATGTGCAAGGAGAAAATGACGGGCAAGGAGAAGATGAGAGGCAAGGAGAAAGCACACAAGCTGAAGAAGGGCCCCAGTGTGAAGAAGAAAGCAAAGAACCTGAAGGAAATTAGGTGTGCAAACTAGAGCTGCTGTGGCGTACCAAAGCCAGCTCCAAGGAAAAGAAAGCTGCTTTAGTTGGCTGCACCACCAACACCAGGGCTGGAGAGTTGGGGTGAAAAGCCCCATGAACATGGGCTGGCATAACCTGTGGGCTGGACAGCCCTATCATAACATGGGCTGGACAGCCCCATCATAATATGGGCTGGACAGCCCTATCATAACATGGGCTGGACAGCCCCATCATAACATATGGGCTGGACAGCCCCATCGTAACATGGGCTGAACAGCCCCATCATAACATGGGCTGGACAGCCACATCACATGCAACATGGGCTGGACAGCCCCACCACATACTCACCTCATAATTTTCTTTTGAAAAACAAAATTTTCTATTGAATTTTCATTTCAGTTTCTATTGAAAAAACAAACTTTTCTATTGAAATTTCACTTGAATTTTCTATTGAAAAAACAACATTTTCTATTGAATTTTCACTTGAATTTTGCACTTGAAAAAAAACAAAAAACGATTGAATTTTTGCAGTTTTCAAGTGGCGATTGAAAAAATCAAGTGCGATTGAATTTTTTCAAGTGAGGATGCTCTGGGTAGTTATAGGTGCCATAAACCATAGTTATTGGAGTTATAAACCAACTTAGCTAACTATATGGCACCACCTTGTAGTGTGTAATGTCAACCCCGGATTAATAAACCTGGTCCATTAATTAGGGGGGTACTCCTCCATCCAATAGTCAATAGTCATAATCTGATACTTAAATGGTACCCTCCCAATTAAACAGCCTAGGGGTTTATTAATCCAGGGTTGAAATTATAGAGTCTAGTGTTTACATATAGTGCTTATGTTGTGGTTGGCGGTTCTAGTGAGGTTATTTTTCCTGGTTTATGGCCTATTAGTATGCATACAATGAATTATGTTGCAATGAATAAAACACATATAGGGATTGATTTACAGTAACCAACTCAAAAAACGGGGTTCACTCCTTTTTTTGGGATCACTTTGTTGCGGCAGATGAAGTCCTGGGGCTTCAGAAGGGTAGACCCTTTTCTATCCGAATGTCAAAACCAGAGTACCAGGTTTTTACCTCCAAATTTCTGATTTCTCTGATTTCTCTGATTTCAACATTTCAACTCAAGTATTATAGTATTCAACAAAGAAGGCATGAAAAATGGATAGATTTGAGAGTGGACAACAACGTACCAAACAATTGACTTTGATGGTGGTTTCAACCTGTGGAAAGGCATCCATAAGAATGGCTTGCAATCTTGGTGTCATGCGGGTACAACCGTGAAACCACCTATATTGTGTATTTAAAGTAGGGATAGAAGCCAAAAACCATGCGGATACAAATGGCGTATTTTTCAGTGTATTCTAAGAGTTGTGACTGGTACCCAACTGAGTGCCAGTTCCCCAAACCCCCAAAAAGTCGAACTTTTTGACTATTCTATCCTATCCATGGGTTTTGTTGGTGGTAGCAAAAAAGATGGGGACATCAAGCAACAATGGATCATGGCGCCATCACCCTACGTTTAACGTTGGTCCAAAAATTGTTGGCTGGAAACGTCTGTCGATCCGCTTTAGACCATCGAAATGTTGCTTAGCTAACTTAGCTTGGATTTTATTTAGAGGAAAAAAAATCATTGAGCAATTTGGTGATATTCACTTACATAGACCTGAAAAATAGGCCTGACATATGGAATCGGTACCTCCTTTTTAGGATCCTGAAATTCCCATTGAAAGTTGGATCGGAAGTTCTACATATTATCACAGTACTTGATCTTTTTTGATGAATCATATTATCTCAGAGATTTTTAGCCAGCAGTACCTAGGATTTACGACAACAACATCACATCTGAATCATAAACAAATCATTAAACAAAATATGTTTAATCGAAAACTCTGCATCCATCCTATCATCCTAGAGTCTGCTAATGTCCTAAATTTTAGGATCTACTCTTAGTGTTTATGGGGATATATACTGGTTGGTGGCTTTGACCATCTTGAAAAATATTAGTCAATGGGAGGGATTATCCCAAACGAATCCCATATATTATGCAAAATAAAAGTCATGTTTGAAACCACCAACCAGCATATCAATGGCCATTCCAGGATCCTAAATTGGAGGTACCTACCATATATAAGGTCTATTTTTCAGGCCTATGTAAGGGAATATCCCCACAAAATATGGCCTTATATGGTACTAACGTACCTCCATTTTAGGATCCTGGAGATCTCCCATTGAGTATCACCCCGCTGTGTTTTTCGGATCATTTCATCTCTATAAATTTTGAAACCACCAACCAGATTTTTAATATGTAAATCATCTATAAATCCACAACTAGCTATGTGGGGCCCCCTAGAGAGCTAAGTTGGTGAACATAACTCCAATTTCACTATGGTTTATGGTACCTATAACTATAGTATTCATGGGGTTTATAAACCAACGTTCACATCACTGGGGTGGCCCACATTGTAGCTATGTGATTACTAGTGGTTGGATGCGCCATCCACCGGTCAATGTTGGTCACCATCCCAAATTTCCGAACAGAAAGTCGTCGGTGGTAGGTAAACACCATCTTCAAATGGGACGGTTACCCTCTGGTAAACATAGAAAAAACTATGGAAAGATCCACCATTCTTAATGGGAAAATTCACTATTTCTATGGTCATTTTCAATAGCTATGTAGACGTTTACCAGAGGGTATTCATCATCTATATAGCATTTCCCGTATACTTACAAATACATCATTTATGATGACTTACCCATTAACAATGATTATATTCCATAGCTAGGTTGAATAATTTATGATGATTTACCCACATAGCTAGGTTGAATAACCAGAGGGTACATAGATGATGATAATATAGTGCTATTTCCATGTGACAAGACCTGTCGAAAGTCGAAAACACCGCAAGCGAAAGCTCGAACACGAGCTTTCGCAAAACCTGTCTCTCTGATAAAATACTAGGGACGTTTCATGAAAGTCCTAACCAAAAATCAAAGTTGGGGATAGAAACATACTACTCAGTGACTGTTTATCAAAGCTTTGCCACAGGTGATATCCCAAGCTATCAGACCCATCGTTCAAGCTTCCAAAAAGTGCCTGGAAGTGGTCGCCCAAACGTGTTTTTTTTCATTGGATTGGTTTAAGGGAAAATCTACAGGAAACCCATGGTTTTTACGGTTTTTACGGTTTTTACCATCAAATATAGGGCTTTCCGGTTAAAATTGTCCCATCATCCAATTCTACGAGGATTCCAGGCACTCAGATCAAAATATCATCAGCGCCGATCCAACAATGGAAGTTGGTAAAGCTGGAAAGCCGTGATCCTCCAAAGTACAGAAGAAATGGCTGGTTTGTATACTTTGTATATTAATCATCCTATTACTAGAACATTTTTCTTTATCAATCTTGTGGCACTGCGTGAAAGATACAAGTATATGGTTGGTTTGATCCCCTCTGAAAAATGATGGAGTTCGTCTGTTGGGGTTATGACATACCCAACTGAATGGAAACATAATGAAACATAAAATTCATGTTCCAAACCACCAACCAGCCACCAATACCAAATGGGAAGTGGTCACTTAAGACAACCCATGTATTATGGAAAAATAATCCAAATGCTCCAAACCACCAATCAGCAATATATGGTTAGCTCTCAACGGTCCGACCCAACTCTGTCTCTGCCATCGGGGGACTTCGGATCCCTGTAAGCGCAACCTTGGTTGTCACCCCAAATGGAGCCCGCACGGGTTTCAAATTGAGGAAATTCACCTGTCAATCTTGGAAGATCGGCCAACATGACTGGTTGGTGGTTGACCTACCCCTCTGACAAATATTTGCCAAATGGGAAGGATGACATCCCATATATGAAATGGAAAATAAACAATGTTTGAAACCACCAACCAGATGAGGTGTAGTTCTTTGTGTTTTCTGATTTCAAACTTGCCGTCTCAGAATTGCAATGCAATTCTACACCATTGGGGAGTTTGGGGGTACCACATTTTTGTACCCCATGTCATAGTGTGAGTTACATATGCCATTCAAATCCGCAGTTTAAATTGGGGGGGGGTCCATCATTTTCCGAACGGGAAACCCCAAGGGTGATCTTGGTGTTCCACGTGTAACGTTTTCTCTAGGGAATCACATCACTCCATGAAACTGGGTCAAACCATGAACCGGGTGTTTGGCCCTGATTGAAGTTTGGGTTTGCCCCAAAATAGGGGTACCCCCATGGCAATTTTAGAGTACAATAAGTGATCCACAATGATCTACAGAATAGACCATGCACAATTCATGGTTTATGAGATTGGGTATGCCGGCATACCCCTACTCGTGATGGAATTGCCCCCTGCATTTGATATTTTGGCATGGCTCATGACTTTTCATGATTATGTCACCACTATTCCCACTATTCCCACTATTATAGTGGTATAATACCCAGATAATTATTATTCCCAATACTATTCCCCCTATTATACTATTATAGTGGTATATATTATAATATAATCATACCCATATACTCAGCCAGTATAT